TTATAACGTGATAGTATCTCGTTAAAACGTGATAGTATCTCGTTAAAACGTGATACGTATCTTGTTAAAACGTGATAGTTATCTTGTTAAAACGTGATACGTATCTTGTTAAAACGTGATACGTATCACGTTAAAACGTGATACTTATCACGTTAAAACGTGATAGTTATCTTGTTAAAACGTGATACGTATCTCGTTAAAATGTGATAGTTATCTCGTTAAAACGTGATACGTATCTCGTTAAAACGTGATAGTTATCTTGTTAAAACGTGATACGTATCACGTTTTAACAAGATAACTATCACGTTTTAACGTGATACGTATCACGTTTTAACAAGATACGTATCACACTATAACGTGATAGCGCTCGGATTTTTTTTTCCTGCGTGATAGCAATACGCTTCCGTACGGTAATAGCGGAAAGGCAGACTTTTTAGGCAAAGTGGACGGTTCGTCCGAACCCCTCGAACCCCCCCACCCGGCTACGCGTATGTTTAATTAGTTTTATCCAAATTTAGTGGCACTTTATTAAGTTTGAACCAGGTTTGTATTTTTTACAAATTCTGTTTGCATTATTTCCATCATCCGTTGTGTATCATTTCCTAGTTTTACCTAATCTTCACAATCAAACTAATATAATAAAAACACTAACAATGTAATGTAAGCAAAATATTACATTAATTTCCCTGAATGAATCTTCCCAATGGATGAATAAAGTTCTACATGATCTGATGTAATCTAACCTCACAACAAAAAGTAATCCTATAGGATTTAAACAACTAATAAGAATTTAAATAAATACAATAAAAAAAAGGATAAAATATCTCCTACAATTTATGCAAAACATACCTCCGGCCAGATGGTGGCGGTACAGTAGTTCATAACCGACAATAGTTAGAAGAAGAAGAAGAACGGACTGATCTATTATGCTGTAGGTGCAGTTGACTTGACGCAACTGTTTCGCAAATATACTGAAGAACAAACTTCATCAGAGTACCAAAATGGATTTGAGCGAGCAGGTGAGCTGTTTATCCAACCAGAACACACTGAGAAAAACGCRGCTTTGAATGTTTCTGTCAAACTGATGTTATAGTGAATGTGTGTATGCTAGGTTTGAACCCGCCGTAAAAATCCATGTGGGATTTTTATTTTCGTTTCGTTTTCTTTCCAAATGATGTTTTATTACAACTAAAACACATACGTATTGAATAAAATGCTACTGTTAAATCATCGATCGTGCAATGCAGCTTGGATGCTAACGTAGCTTTCAGCTGTAGATGCAGTTTGCCAGAACATTCTAGTACCTCCATGCTAACAAGCTACATCAGTGCTAAACCGTGGAGCTTGTTACTAAGCAACGACGAGGAAAGTAGGGATGTTTTATTAAATATTCAAAAATATCCGAGGTCCTGAGGGCTTTTTACCTGCGTTCATCATCATGTGATGTTTTAGAAAGTAATAATCGATGCCGTTTCGAGCTACTTTTTGCTGTTACGGTAATTAGCGATCACTGTCATCTAAAACAAAATCACATACTTTTGCACTTTTCTGTTGTTATTTTAGCTTATTAATGCTTTAATAAACTATTCTAAATTCACATTAATAGATTCCCTCTAAATATTAACAGAGTTGATGTTAGAGCAATAGACGTGCCCCCTACATTAAGCAATATTTACATAATTGACATTTTTATGTCGCTTTTTAACAACCTTTTAAAGTCATAAGTGATAAATGTTGACAAACACGTGCACAGTTGTTTAAAATCTTAAGTGAACTGGTTAGAATATTCCTCTAAACCTAAAAGGATGTGTAATCCTTCCTATTTTTTGACATTAGTAGTTGTTTCCCCGACACTGTAAACAGATGGATAAATATAAGGCAAACAACATTAAAACCATAATATATGCTGAAACTGACACATGCCTGCTATTTAAATTGTTTGCTACAGATTAGTAATCTAGAAGCAGACTTGCAAGAGCTGGGTTCCATCTTGGAGACGGCAGAGAGGAAAAGGGTGCAAGAACTGCTAAAGCAGGAGCAAAAGAAGGTGGAGAAAGAACTCGCGACCAAACGACAACAGCGGGAGCAACAAGCTAAGAAAGACGCTGAGCCATCCGCAGCATCCAAAGCATCTTACACAGTGAAGATCACCAGCTACGGTAGGGAGCTGTTGTTTACAAATAACTCCTGAAAGTGTAACACTTTAAATCTTTGTAAATTGATCCCCCTCTTCCATCTTTTTTCTGCAGCGTGGGACCAGTCTGAGAAGTTTGTCAAAATTTACTTGAATTTGAAAGATGTGCACAAAATCCCTTTAGAAAACGTGGAAGTGAGCTTTTCAGAAAGGTAACCTGATGATCTACAAATTAGATTTGCTGTGTTCATTCTTTATGTGGTGTTATCAAATTAACTCAGTGCCTTTTGTTGCAGATCATTTTCAGTCTTGGTGAASGACCTGGATGGCAAAAATCATCAGTTGACTGTTCTCAACCTGCTGCATCCAATCAATGAAAACGACAGCTACAAAAAAGTAAATAAACTGATATTTTTACTCTGCTTGTTTTATAAAGCACCAGAACATTTTAGTGGGCCTCTTTTATTTATTTATTTATTTTTTACTTGGTTTAGTTATCTAATCATTCCACTGCTCTAGTAATACCTTCTTTTAGCCTATTGTAGATTAATTTTGGTCTGATATGTTTACTCGGGTGCATTGATGAGCTTTGAATTTAAAAAAAGGCCTCTGTTTGTGTTTTGAATTCTTAGCAGATTCAATTATTTAAAATTACATCTAGAAATTGGTTTTACTGAACACATTATTACACATTTGTATCTCCCATTAAAATAATGTAAAAAAGTTTCAGATCAAACAAAAATGTGTGTTAAAAGCTGTCAGTTATCACATTGTATTTATTTAAATAGTGTCCCTATTTTAAATGATTTTCTTATAACTAAAAGTTCTGACTGTTTTCTTTCCAGGTAAAAACAGACATGGTGATGGTCATGTGCAAAAAGCAAGCAACAAAGAAGTGGGAGTGCCTTACCTCAGTGGAGAAGCAGTCTAAAGAAAAAGAGTGAGTGACATGATTTTGAATATCTGTCTGTTTTGGCTAACTTTGGGCCCACAGCACACCTCGCATGTGCACATGTTAAAGACTAAAAAGATTAGTTAGTTCAGAAAAGCATGCACATACCACTATATAAACTCGCTTCTCTTTCAACAGTAAGCCCAGTATGGACGAGAATGCAGACCCCAGCGAGGGCCTCATGAGCATGCTGAAGAAGATTTACGAAGAAGGAGACGACGAGATGAAACGAACGATCAACAAAGCCTGGTCGGAGTCCCAAGAGAAGAAGATAAGAGGGGAAGAAATGATGAACTTTTAAATTTTAATTTAYCCACAGCAGGACCAAAATAAATAAATAAATAAATAAACAAAACTCAACGTCATAAATAATTTGTTTGGAATAATGTCTGAGGGCCTGGATGAACTGATTTTACCCTGCAGGCTGTTAATGGTGTTGTCCTGCATAGATCTCCATGTCCACCAGATGGCAGCAGTGATTCATTGTTGCTTGATTAAAATCCCAACAGTTTGGGTAAGTTGTGGGAGTCTACTCTGTTTTCATCAGGCTTGTTTTTGAACGACTTTCAAACATGCTTTATGCTTCATTTTCAAGTTTTTAAACCCTTGTTAACATTTTCACAGATGCCTTTTTTCCCTGATTAAATATAATTTGCAAAGACGGTGATGTTACTTGCATCGGCCTGGTGAAATAATGCACATTTATGCATGTATTAACCTATTATGGGCTTTCCTTCAGCTTGTTAAAAAAGTAAAATGACATTCCACAATGTGATCTTTTGTGTCTTTTTGTATTTGTCCGCTGTAGCTTTTATGTATGGTATCAATGTTTGCATTTTAATATTTCTCGTCGCAAAAGCCTTTATTTGGCTGTTGTCCTTATTTGCAGTTCTCATGTTGTGAACTTCCCAACACACAAAAATTGTGACGTGTTAAAAAAAGAAAAAAATTGTATAGGTCTTCTGGACGGGTTCTTCTCTAATGAAACGTTTCGTCTCTTCTCCAAGAGACTTCTTCAGTCTGAGAGTTTCAGGCAAAATTCAGGCTTTTAAGCCCAGCTTCCATGTGACTGATACTCACATCACATGGCTATCGTTGACACCTAATTAACACTTATTGTTAACGGGGTGGAGTGATACTGACAATAGCCGCACTGTAGGAGGGGGACAACTGAAAAGGGAGGCCTCCACCTCCCTTTGATTTATTAAATTATTTTTATTAATTATTAAATCCCTTTGATTTGATTTATTACCTGGATTACTGAGATGCATCAGGACATTGTGACGTGTTGTTTTTCCACATGTATTTATGCTATGTTGGTCATAATATGCTGTTCCAGTAAGTTGTTTAAAAAACATGAATATAACTAAGTTAAAGTTTTGCAGGGTTTTTTTTTTTTCTTGGCTTTGCTAAAGTTTGCTCTTCGATCGGATATTTTCAAAATCGTCAAGCAACCAGAATCCTGCAGAGCCCAAGTTGCATGTTTTGTCCACCAGGGGGCAGATGTGTGCAATGTGCACATTTACATCTCTCAGGAAAAGAATTTACTGAAGAAATTCAGATTAGTTTGTGTGGTGGCTTCTGTAGTTCAAGATAAAACACCGGTACTTTCCGCAAATCAAGAGTTTGCACTGTTTGAAAAATAAAATAAAATCTGAATCACTAAATGAAGAGATCCTATTTCCAGGCTATTCTGAAAGCCTGTTGTATTTATTTACCTCTTTGAATGAGCTGTAGGTAAAAACTATAATCCCTCATGGTTGAGCTACACCACAGATTTTTATTAATTTATTTTGAGGGGATTTTTCATTCATTTTCTGCTCCAGATTTGAGTTTGTGATGGAGCAAATTATCTAGGTTTTCTCCAGCAGTTCGCCCCGCCCTTATCCGGGTCCGTGACGTCACCCCTCTATATAAGCGGGCGCCAGATGGAGGCAGTTAGTGGAGAGAACATTTCATAGAAGGTAGGGCTGCTTATTAAAAAAGATAAATAATCAGTGGAGGAAAAAAAAGGGAGAGAAGGGCGCGCCGCGGACTATATGTTTTTTGTTTATATTTTTTTTAGCGGTGGATGGATTCTGGTTGTTTCTCTGCGGCGCAGCGTTTTTCGTGCCACATTATGATGAATGCGGATTTACTGAAGCCTGTTCCGGAGCGTGGAGTCCAGCAGCAGCAGCAGCAGCAGTCCTCTGCTGCTCCGGCGAAAAACAGCCGGAACAAACCCGAACAAGCCAAACCAGAGATGGCTCAGGTGGTGACGGACACCAAGACGGGAAGATCCTACAGCAAAGGGAAGCTTCTGGGAAAGGTAGGACAATTTTAACGTGTTTGTTTCACATTAATCTGCTTTATTAGTTTGATCTGAGCAGATGGCAGCTAGAATCTGAATAAATTATGAGGCGGTTATTTTATGTATGGAATTAGAGCGTGGGGAATTAAAAAAAAAAAAAAACCTCGTGGTGGATATAATCAGTCTCCACCCCTCCTCCTCGCTGTCCGGTGCGCGTTGTTGGTGAATGAATCAGGCGCAAGGTGTGCCC